TATATTTAAAATAACACTTTTGGTCCATTGCATAATTTCTTTCTATAGTTTTCGTTTTTATTAATTGCAAAGAAGTTAACCGTCACAATGTGCAAGATAAGTCAAATACTAGTTTATATTTATTTAAGGTTTATCTTTTCGGGCAGAGAAAATCTGGATTTCATAATGGATCCTCTTTTTATGGTGGATCATTTTTAACTTGACACACTTAGTTATTTTAGATATATAACTATAACCTAGAGCTGCACAAGAGACTTGGTGTTATTGAGTTTTCGAGGCCTGAGTCTAACTTTGTCTGAGCTCTATTTTCTAAGTCTGGACCGGTCTTATCCATTTTTTTGTGGACTTTTTCTTAAATGTTCGGAGTGAGCATTTGTTGAGCTTTATCCGAACTTTTTCTCTCCAGACTGGTAACCGGGTTGGGCTTTACCTGGAGGTATTTTTATTGGATCGAATAAGATCTTAACCGTTTGGGAAAAAAAATGACTTTTAGGAGTTGCTTTGGGACAGTTAAGTGAGGTTTAACAAACAATATTCAAATCGAGGTTTAAGATTCTTAGCAAAGTCACTCGGACACCAAAAAAGAAAAACTTGGGACTTGGGAGCACTTTAATCAGTAGGAAATGATGATAGCAAGCAGCACGCACCATGTTAAAATGTGCAAAATCAATGGCGTTAGGCGGTAATCCATCCCTTTAGGCTTCAACGATATTGGAACGCAAATGTATTCATTTTCATTAGATTAAATATAAATGCAGTGTAAATGCATTCTAATTTGTTATTTAAATGTTAGGCCATGGGGTATGGTTCTTTTTTCACGCGTAAGAATCCTATGTGGAGCCTAGGTGGAGGAGATGTTCACTAGTGAACACCGCCTCCAATATGAGTAATGGCGGTGTAGATTGAAGCCAATTACGGGTTCTCACACCCAATCAAAACCATTTCTTTCTGTCTCTCTCTTCTTTCTATCTATCTCTCTCTTTTGTCTCACTCTTGTTCACTAGTTGTTCTCTTGTGAACATCACCTCCATCAATAGTAAATGAGTTGTGAAGATGTATAGAGGATGATGTGGAATGGTTTTCACGCGTGTTGTATATTATAGAGTAAATTACAAAAATGGTCCATACGCTATAGAAAATATTAACAAGTTTTGGATTTCTTGCACGGATATGCCTTCATAGAAATGTTTCCTTTCAGTTATGGTTCCTAGCACATGTAAAAATGAATTTTCTTATAAGTATATAAACTTTTTTGTTATATGATATAACCAAAATATATATTATTATTTTAATATATAGTTGGGCCCAACCCTTCACTAAAATACATCACAAATTTAGTTTCACTGTTTTATCATTTCACGGAAAATTTTGTTATTCATTTAATTTTGAATAGGGGTGCAAATGAGTCGAGTTGAGCCCAAGCTTGACCAAACTCGGTTCGAGCTTGTTTAAGTCAAATGAGGCTCAAACTCGAACTTTCTTAAACCGAGTTGTACTCGAGCTCGTAAATAATTATACAAGTTCAGCTTGGGTTTGAGCTCAATTTGTTTTTTAACTAACGTGTCTAAATAAGCTTAATCTCAATTCGAACTCATTAAAAAGCTCGTTATTACTACTCTAAATCCCTAATTACCCAAATATTTTTTCTTATTTTAATATATAATAATAATAATAAATTATATTATATATATATGCTTGTTTAGTCTTGCGAGCCTAATCGAGCTTAGTGACATAGGCTCGAGCTCGTTTAATAAACGAGCTTATCTTTAAACTCGAGCTCGACTTGTGCTCGTTTAAAATCAGTTTCGAGTCGAGCTTTCAACGAGTCGATCCCGAATAACTTGGCTCGTTTGCACTCCTAATTTTGAGCATATTAAATATATTTGGTTAATGAATAAACAAATGCGCAACATTAACTCTAGATAAATAAATATAATTGCTTGTTTAAAAACATTTTGGTTAATTGTTTGATAAGTAATTAACTCAACACATGATACGACACAACCATTACGCTCGACAAGGTGGTCAAACATTTTCAAAGTATATTATTGTCGTAAAACACATTCTAACGTGTTAATTTGTAATTAAAAAAAAAAAAAAAAAAAAAAAAAACTCATCTTTATTATTAAGAAGCTCAAAATAAAGATATCATCTATATCTCTTATGTGTATATACACACACATACTAAATTAATTTGTAAAAAACTCATCTTTGTTATTAAGTAGCTCAAAATAAAGATACAATCTATATCTCTTTTATTAAAAAAAAAAAAAAAAAACTAATATTTATTTATTAAAAATTCAAGATAATGAACATGTATATATCTTGTGTGATTTTCTATATTATAACTATATATTCGTAAAGATATCATCTATATCCTATATAATATAAGAAGATTTTTATTGATTTATCATTATGAGCACATTTCTAAGCTACATAGTGTTTCTAAAAGATTC